CTTAAACAGGACGGAGTCAGGAAAAAGTTAGAGTGAGGACATTTATTAAATTTTATTTTTTAATTAATCACAATAATTTATAAATTCATATTTATTAAAATTATATTTAACACTTAAAAGTTCCGTAAATAATATAGAAGATTAAAAATCGATACGCATAACACGAACAAAATAAAATTAATTTTTTTTATTATGAATAAAACTAATTATTGTCATTTACAATTGACTCTGGTATGTTTTTATTATTTGAAAGAGTTATTACAAATCTATTTTGTAAATAATATTTCTTTTATATATAAAATTATGGTAACAATTTTTTATTTATGATCCTATAGTTTTCAACATAACGACATATATTTTTATATAATAATGAAATAACTCTACAAATTAAAAAATTATAAAATAATCCCAATATGTTTAAACACATATTCAGACATTTGAAACGTGTTTAAAAGTTAATAATAATATTAATTGCACTTAATTTGAAATTTAATTGATAAAAATTCAATGATTTGTGACTATTGGATGGATAGTAGAGTTTATTAAATATTGAGACTTATTATTAGACATAATATCACAATACATTAAGTCTTTAAATTCGGTCTCAATAACATTTTTCAAAAAATTAAAAATCATTTAGGTAGAGATCTATTCAAATCGATATCACCAGAACATAATAATAGGATAAGAACAATTAAATATATCTAAATTTTATTTCAAAAAATACATTTTTAATATGAAAGAAAAAAAAAATTGAGGGGACATGTGCCCACCCTAACCCAAGGGTGGCTCCGCCACTATAGACTAGAAATCAACTTCTTCAAAATATAGATAAGGTTGTCTACCGTTAATTTTACCCAAACCTTCTATAGACGAGAGAGAATTATATGTTTGTCTCAGAAAAGGGGAATGAATCCCTGCTCTTTTAAGTGTTGAAGTATCAAATTAAAGCAAGCACATATGACCAAGTTTGTAAGAGACCATTTAAGCATGCTTTATCTCTTTTTATGCAAGAGAGAGACTCCTCTGGTAGGCCACTGTAACACGTCAAGCAAATCGCACCCACCCAGTGCCTTTTATCCAAGGCTTTCACACAATGACAACTACATTGTTTTTTTCTTCTTTTTGAACAAGAATTGAAACTACTTTCTACCTCCACTCAAGTCCCGTCCAAGGTCTGAATCCTTGACCTTCTGGGAGGTGTAAAGCTATACCAACCCACATAGGAGTAAATATTTAATGAAACGGTATGGTCACGTCATTCTTTTCAGACGATATCATCATTTAATAATAAACTTATAAGTAAATAAGATAAACTTTACTTTTTTTTTTTGCGTGAAATAACTATTATCTTACATATTTTTTGATAGTTACCAAGTTATGTGAGATTTTCTACATATTGATTTAATGTAAAACAGTGATATCATATAACATCAATATCACGTAGCATCACCCAAGGCTAAGAAAGAGAAATGGTTAATACAGCATTTGGCAAAAAGGTTGACGTAAGTGATTACATAGTTCATGTAGAAAGAAGCACTAGCAGGTGCATCTTTTTTTAAAAAAAAAAATCAACGGATAATATCGGTTTTGATCATTTGGTCTATGTTGCATAGAGTTGTATTATTTAAACTTAAAAATTTGATATGTTGTATTGACTTAAAATGTGTTTTTATTGTAATCATTAAATTAACACAAAATTTTAATGTTTGAAAGACTGGTCGAGTTTGACTTTTTATTAAAATAGTTTTATCAACAATTTGATCTTAGTGCTATTTCACAAAGCTTACAATAAACAGTACCCCCGGAGTTTCTTTAAGATCCAAAGACCCTTTGTCAAAAAAACAGCACCTTTTGTAAAATTTGCTAATGTGATTGCAAATTAACTGGCATTTTAAATTATGTTTTCCTCCGAGTTTAATGATAAGGCAAAAAGTTAAGAGGAAAGAAGAGGAAAAAAATTTTCGGGGATTATTATTATTTGTTGACTAACCCTTTTAGACAATTCCTTCATATCTATATGATTTTCCTGTTCTTTTCCTTTGAAAGAATTTTTGACAAATTGTATTTCTTTTTCTAATTTTGTTTTTATTTCTTCAATTTTAGATAAGGATATTGCCTTCAACAACTGCTGTTATCAACCAATTTGCCTGATTGATATGTAAAATAGCATTGTTAGACGCTCTTTTGGTGGGTATTTTATATCCCCTTAAACTTTTAGAATCTATAGAAGTTACTATTTTTATTGACTCCTTTGAATTTCATATTTGTTTATATAACCTTTCGATTAAAGGTTTTAAATCATTTTGAACTTGAAATATTTATTTTGCAAGTTCTTCTGTCCGTATTTTTGTAGGTTTAGGGTGATCTGGAACAATTTCCTGAGTTTCAACTACCTTTTTTATTCCAATAGTTTCTATTCTTAGTTCTTCAATTATTTTTATTCCTCGATCTGAATCAGATTTAGATTATTTTTAAGTTTATTAAGATCTATAAATTGACTACTTAGGAAATCTAGTTCCCTGTTTAGTTTTTTAATTTCTTTTTCAATGTTTAAAATATGGTTAAAAATAAGTGTCACTTTCATCATATCGACAGTCAATTACCACATCATCAATACACTTTTCAATAGGAACCCTAGATCTCCTGTGTCTGCCACTAATACAGAAAAGGCCATCTTTCTTATATCTTCGTAATGTCTAGAAATCAACTTGTTCAGAATACAGATAAGATTGTATAACATTAATTTCACCCAAACCTTCGAGAGAGAATTATGTTGATATATCAAATTAAAATAAGCATATCTGACAAAGTTTCAAGGACACCATTTAAGCATGCTTTATTTATATGTTTTTATGCAGGAGATAATGACTCGTCTGGTAGGCCACTCTAAGACGTCAAGCAAATTGCATCACCCAGTGCGTTGTACCCAAAGCTTTCACACAGTGACTCCCTACTCTTTTCTTACACCAGAGTTGGATCTTAGTATTGAAAAGGATGTACTATCAATCAATTAAGAGTAATACATTAACTATATATATTAGGTGTAACTAGTATTATTAAGAGTAAATTGCACTTTATTCCTTTAAACTATTATTTTTGTTTTATTTTGTACTTTTAACTATAAATTTCTCACATTATACCTTAAAGTATCAATTTTATTTCTTATCACTCTAATATATAATGATAAACTTGAAAATTTATCATAGGAGGATGGAAAACCCCAAAGAGCATTCAGCCAAGTGCCTAGTACTATTTTATTTTACCTCTTTTGCAACCAAATGGTTACAAGGAAGAAAAAGAAAGTCAGTCAGAAAATAAAAATTTAGAGTTTAGGAAGGACAAAATTATTAGTGGGTATTTTTTTTTTATTTTTGACATACACATATATAATAGATAGTTGTTTATTAGCAGTATAGACCATTCACATACATATTTATTGTAAAAAAATTGATAGTCGTTATTTATTGGAGTAATATAAAATAAGATTAATATTTTATGGTACAATATGAAAAATTTTATAATCGAAAGTGTAAAATAAAATACATATAATCGTTCAAGGTGGTAAAACATAATTTATGCTCTTATTAAACTAGTAAAATTATCCTCATACAAGGTTTGAACCCATGACCTCCTTTTTGGGATGTGAAAAGGTTTATTATCCATACGAGAAGTATTCAATGTAATAATAACACCACATTATTACTCTTGCCTGATATGATCTTTTAATAGTAAACTTCTAAGTGAGTAAGTGAATTTTACTTTTTTTACGTGTACTAATTATTTTCTTGCCTAATTATGATAGTTACTAAATTAATTGGGGTTCATTTGTCTATATATTAATTTAGTATTAGACAATAACATCAGATAACATTATTGTCGCATGATGATGCCACCATTGAATATTTTCTCCTACCGTAGGCCCTAAGAAATAAAAATTGTGAATCCGGCACGTGATGACGTAGGTGATTACGCAGAAAAGAAGTATTAACAAGTGCTAGTGGAATAGAAAGTCAACCGAGTTTTGACAATATATGAATGTTATCAAAATGCTTCTGATTTGCAATTTGTTGAGTGCATTAATTGCCAAATGATATAAATTTGGTGGGTGGTTCAATGGTGGAGAGTGATCTTTATATGTAGCAGGTTGAATTTTTTTTCACACTTTTTAAGTATAAGTCATTTTTATTCTTTTAGAGACATGTCTTGACATAATTCAATTCACGGTGATCAGTCTTGAACTCAAGGGAATAATCGATATAAACTTAAATACCCAATAAAAAAAAAAATTGTCCAATGTCATTGCCGTTGTATGTCATGTGAAATGAAGTATTAAAAGGCAATTATTGTCCCTCAAACTCAAATATTTAAATATGAATTTAAAGTTAATCAAAGTTAAAAAAAATTATTTAGTTAAATTACCTGGACACTGTCTTCTCTTTATAGCGGATCAAATCCCCCTAGAGTAGGGAATTTTCGAATAGGCACCAAAAGACTCTCCTTCCTCTTCATCATGAAATCAAATCCCCAAGATAAAAAAAAGAAAATCAGTCCACATGATCTGATCTATACGATTAGGTCTGATGGTACTTTATGTCGCAATCAAATACAAGTGCCCCCTTCCCCCGCCCACCAAAAAATAAATCAAGGCTCGTTGAGTTTGGTTTTTTATTTAAATGTTTTTATCAACTTTGATCCAATTCCAATAACAACTGTAACTAGCATATTAAATTTATGTTTTGCTTAGTTTAATGAACCAATAGATAAGCCAAAAAGCTAGTGGAAAGAAGATTCAACCCTCTGTTCTGCTTAACTCAATACAGATTTATTATTTTCTTTGAGATTGCAAACATACAAAACAGAAATAAATTAAAGAACAAAAAATACCCGGAAATCAGGAAAAGAAAAAAAGAAAAGAAAAGAGTACATTGGCAGATAATCTACATTAAAGTGGGCAGCAAAAATTACAATTGCAAGTTAAATATGCTGTGGAAAGACACCCTTGTGACTGGGTTTCTTCTCCTTCTTCTTCATCATTGTCTTCTTGTTCTCATCTGTCTTTGCCTTTGATGCTGTGTCTGGTGAAATCATATTAGAACTGCCACAGTTTTCAGACAGTGGTATTCCAGAGGAACATAAAGAAGAAGAAGATCGAAATAGACAAGCAACAGATTGAACTATGGTGTCCAACATCATCTTCTTCACCGACCTTCTCTTTGCCGGAATTACGCTTCCTTTCTTGGGTTTGAACCATGGCTCCGTCGTAGGCTCGCCGGAGTTCACAACCTGGGCCACCATTTTATGGCCTCTGTTTCTTCACTCTATCTGTTTCTATATTTTTTTCCTCTATACTTCCTGTCTGGTTGGTAAATGGAATGAGGGAATATTTTGAGTTCAGTGTGATTTAAATAAAGACACTTTACAATCCACACCCTTCAAGAATGGGTCAATCTTCAATTAGACCATGAAATTCTAACTAGAATAACCAAATCCTAAACATTTTAATTTAGTGGATTGACCGTTTAGACCTAATTTATCAACATAATTTATTAAATAATTTATCACAATCATTGAATTGATAGCGAAACTCAATTAATACTATAATCCACTTTTAGTATAATAGTTATATTAAGTCAATGAATTAGATTCAAATAATATTTGCGTAGATTGATTAAGGGTCCCATCAAATATTAAATTTAGTATTGATACAACGGTTCCATAGAAGTCATATAATTAAATTAACAAATTAGATTAAATTTTTAGATTCAAATAACATTACTAATTTAAGTGGCGTAAATAATAATTTTCACTTTAAATAAATCAGCAGAGAACCAATGAGAGAGAAACTTGTGGGGGAAGTATTTGTAGAAGCACAAAGAGCACGTGTCAGATGACAGGCTGTAGGACACTAATGTAGCTATATTAGGCTGGTCCCGGTTATTTGCAAGTTTGATTCGCGACTGTTAATATATACAGGTAAGCTTATAGGGTTATATTTGAAAAAATAAAATCTTAATTAAATTCAGATAATACCCGTGTTAAAATCTTAAACTTTTTTAGACCCAATTTAAGGGCTGAGCCCGGGTTTGGGTTTGTGTCCAGGATCGGATTTAGGATTAAGTTTGTGTCCAGTTTTGAGTTTGATGTCGAATTTGGGGTCAGTAATGGTCGGGTTGAGATCTAGTCTTGGGTCCGCGGTTGTCTACAAGATTGATGCATGCACCTTGTAGCAAAATTTTAGTGCGTGTTTTGAGTGTAAGAAGAAAAATATCCACACTTTTTTAAGGCCATAGCCATTATAAATGGATCCTCTAGAGATACCTTTTATAAGTCAGTTCAATTTCTTGACAAAGCAAGGAGAAACAGACTTGATCAAAGGGTTGTCTTAAAAATTTTGAAGCACCAAATTTGGTCATGAAATAATGAGCAATGTTATACAATTTAAATTTATATTCCGAATCAATAAAGATAATTAGATCAATGGGTCTTAATAACTTTTTTTACAAGACCCACTAATTCTACCATCCTTGTTAATTTGGGATGTAAGTTTGGATTATAAATTTGAGAAGCAGAGTATTTCTGTGAAATAAAAGCACTCCAAAGGGGAAATCATTGCTGCACGGATTTAAAAAGCTCAGCTTAACTGATTCTCTATACTAATCCCCCACTATCGTTTTAGTACCCTTTTAGGTTGGTTAGATCGAAGCAAACAAAAATTTCACAACCCATCCTGGCCCACTGCGATAAGCCCACAGTACCACAAGTGGGCCATAGTGCTAGCCCCAACCCCACCCATGCAAGAGGCCGACTAAGATCACCGACGTACCTGCCCAATTTTTAATTTGTTAGTTATAATTCAAATAACTTTACTATTTATTTAAGGCGTACACTAAATTAGACTTATTTGACAAAAAATATATACTAAAAAATGTAGGGTTATTAAGTATTTAATTTTGATACTTATTTGTATCCAAGTACATAATATGAATTTATCTATTTTTATTGTGATATTTTTGCCCTCCATTAATCCATGTGTATTTAATGCACCACTTTTTTTTCAGAAAGTGGTGCATTAAACATCTCCTAGTTTTATGGGAGAACTTTAATATATATATATATATATATATATGTATGTAAGTACGTATATACTTGTTGTTAAATCTCTTATCTAAAATTTGAATTATCTTTTAATGCACCTTGATTCATGTATTTTTCTTTTTTAGAAAGTGGTTTTATTTTCAAATTAATTTAATATCCGAATAGTGTAACAGTATAACAATAAAAGTGTAACACTAACAATGTAACAGTATAAACAATAATAGTGTAACAAGTTATTTACACAAAATATTGTACTATTACATTTTGTCAAACATATAGTTTCATATAATTTCAATCAAAATAGTCTATCTCCGTTTTGAATTTGTTATCATATACATAAAACTACTAAACACTGTTTTTGTTATAATGTATTTGTTACACTGTCTTTGTTATACTATCACATTATTTTGATATTAAGTTAATTTAAAAATAAAACTATTTTTCAAAAAAAAAAAATTTTAAATCAAGGTGCATTAAATATAATTTGAAAACAAAATCACTTTTAAAAAAAATTACGCATGAATCAAGGTGCATTAAAGATAATTCAAAATTTAAATAAGAGATTTAACAACATATATATATATATATATATATAATAAGAGATTTTGAATTAAATGACCTTAAAATTAGTATTTATGTCTTTTTAACTTATATTTTGTTCTATGTACTTTTTACCAAATAAATATAATAAGGTGTACCAATTTTCAAAAAATCCTTTATTTAAATGTAGAAAATAGCCGTAGGTTGCTGCATCATGACTTATTTGATACCGCAAGTCATGTGCCAAAAAATTGAGCTTTGTTTAGCACCAGTAACTCCCAGCCCGACCCAAAAACCTTTACATGACGGGCTTGGCAGAAATTAGCAGGACCGGCCCCAAATCGAGGAACAAGTACAACTTATGCCTGTTAATTTGAAACCAATCCAATATTTTCAATACTTAAAGAAATTTATAGGACTCAGGTTTGGACATGGGTACAAAAATTACAATCCAATTTAAATTGGGATAATACTTGGTTTGAGATGTCAGATATTTGGGTTTAAGCCAAAACCGGAACTCATCCAGCTCCAAAATACCAAATTAAATCCACCCAGCCACTCTCCATTGCCTCCTTCCATGCGTTCAATAGGGCCTCACACACAGTTCTCTCTCTCCCTCCCCCTCCCTCCCTCCCTCAATACACACACATATCACACCCATCAAACCCTCTGTAGCATCATCCACATACTGTACCCATTTCGCTTCGCTTTGATCCTCTAGGTTCTATGTCACTGCATTCCCAGGCTCAACCAAGGCAGACAGAGGGAAATTTTTTTTTTTATCAGAAGACAGAGGCAAGTTGAGATCTACCAAACTAGTTTACATATTTTAGAAAAGCGACCTCCTATTCACCATGGACGTCGATGGTACCTCACAGCTGAGGTGAATATATGCATATATAAGATTATGTGTTGTTTTGAAATGTTGAGTATAAGGTGTTTGCTGAATTGTGTAAATCTGGCTTGGGTTGAGCCTGGCGTGACATTTCAACCTACTCGAGTTGCGCCTCTAGGACACTCTCTAGTCTGGAAGATCCTTGAACACTGACTGCGAAACTCTAAGTGGAGGTTTGAACAAAATCAATCTGCTTTGTTTTGTGCTATAAATGCTTTCTGTAAGAGTTATTCAAGTAAAAATCATTCTGAATAATTAGCAGACTTCATTCATCAACCATAAAAAAACTAATGAGTAAACAGAAAAAATTCACCACCTCCGATTGGTACTTAATTAAGTCCAAGTTCAACAACACGTTTCAGAGTATATAACCATATATAAAGGGTACTGGATTAAGCAGACCCATGATCGTCAGGCTTGATCTTCTTTTGTTCTTGACTTTGTCGATAGCAGAATCAATAGATTCAATTATGTACTCGGCCATCATCGTCTTCACCAGCTTCTTCTGTGCTGTAATCACGCTACCGGCCTTCTTTTTGAAACCCGGCCATGCCTCGGCTCCGAACTCTCCTTCATATGGGTTCATCTCGCCTTTGCCATTGCATTTGACACCTCCTTTGCCTGTGCTCATTACCTTATCTGTCATCTCTCAAAAACTCTATTTTCTTCCTCTTTCTTTCTCAATAGGTTTTGTGTTTCTTAAGGGAGAGTTATAATGCTTGTATTTAAAGATTGAACACCCGTAGCTTTCTCTTGTTTACGCGTGTTTATGTGAGAGGTGTGGCTGTGTTGTGGTGGCGTGTGTGGGAGTGTGTCCAGGTCTGTGTTTAGAAATGTAGATGCTCAAGTAGAAAGTCTTTTTTTTTTGTGTATGGTTGTGTAGGGAACTCAAGTTTAAAGAAATCTCTGTCTAATTGTGTGGTATGTGGGTGTGTAAACTCGAAGAAAAAACTCATTTTTGTTGGTTTTTCTTTCTATTTGTGTTGTTGTGTATGTGTACGTGCACATGTAAGAAGCCTAAAGTCCATTTACATACCGTTGTGTGTGTCTGTGTGTCGGTGGTCTCCAAGTACAACACTTAGCTTTTGTTGTAGTTGTTGTTTTGGTGTGACTGTTTGGATTTTGAAGTATAAAATCCATCCAGAAAAGACAGCACTTGAAAGAATGACATGTAGCTGACACGAATTTGGAGTTGCAAAGGGATCAATATAGAAACGACTTTGTTATAATTGTCAGGAAATTTTGGAGAAAGGACGAGGCCTTTATTGCATTCGTCAAGGTTGCCGATCCCCTTTGTGAGGTCTGGACTTGACTACGGTCTCAATAAATAAATTCGGTATCGTAATTCTAATTTTTATTATTTTAATGAAATTTTTATAATTTTTATAAGTTATTTTATAACTAAGAAATGTACATTTTTGTGAATAATTTATCACTTTTATGAATTCTTTTTATCATTATTGTGAGTAACTATTTTTATCACTCGTCTTTGATACAAAAAAAATTTATCACATTTGTTTATATTTCTACGACATTTGTGGATGTTTTTATTATTGTTATGGTAACTGTTATTACCATTTTTTGGGGTACCACAACAGTGGTAAAATAACTCACAAAAATGATCAAAACGACCACAAATGTGATAAATGAAAGTATTATACCGATTTTTGTTTTCGGTATCATATTCAAGTTGGTGAAGTGGAAGCTGATTGTGCCTTGGGGTTCTTCACTAAATCGCGTCGTGTTGAAATTTGTTTAATTTATACTTGATTTATTTTTAATATTATATAATGGAAACAATATTTTTGTTTACATGGGTAAGAGTAGGTACATATAACCCTCTTTAAACCCCGCAATGACAGGAGTTAAGGGTGCAACTTGGATTGGACAACCTAATTTCAAACCAAGTTCAATTCAAAAAAATTAGGATTTTGATAAGGGTTTTAATACTTGGGTTGGGATTGAGTCAAAAAACTCCAACCCGAATTTAATTTGGGTTGGGATTGGGTTCAACCCGAACTTGACAAATAAATAAATAAATAAATAAATAAATAAATAAATAAATATATATATATATATATATATATATATATATATATTAGCACTGATTTGTCATTTTTATTCTATTGTTCTCTGCCTCTCTCGTTCATTTTCATTTTTGTTCTAGTATTAGCACTGTAAAAAATTTGGTTGAAGTTATTGATTGTTAATTTAGGTGAATATTATGTAATATATGTATTAAGTTTAGAATAACAAGCTTATTTTGGGCTCTACCCGAACTCAACCCGAATTGAATCCGTAAAATAACCAAAAATTAGCCTGAAATCATTAACCCGAATTCAACCCGAGGTAGGGTTAGAGTTAAGGTTAAAGATTATATACCTATGATTGAGTTAGAGTTAACTGTCCAACCCACCTGAATTGCATCCTTAACATGAGCCTCGTACATTGGTTAATTCTTTTTATATAATGGTGTTCAAATTACATATAAATTGTGCATAACTCTATCTCCGTGTTTTGTTTAATTAAATAAATTATGTCTTGTTGTATATTTAACACGTCTAACAATTTTATTTATTTATCATCCAAATATATTAAATTCGTAACGATTTCAAATCAAATTCTTGAAACATGTACACTATGAGTGTCAAATGTGTCGAGTTAAATGATTACGTGTTGTGTTAAACGAGTGATGGGTACAAAATATGTAAATCCGTATACGACAAGTTTAATAAATAGGTAAAAAATCTCAATACGAATACGATCCGTTTAATAAACGGGTAATACAACACGATTCATTTAGCTCGTTTAATTTAAACAAAATTATATCAAAAAATTTTAATACACCACTTTTTTTACTGTCAATTATATTTACCTTAAAAAAGAGGAATTTCTTGTCAAATTTTACATAAAAATCAAATTTGAAGGCTAAAAAAATAAAAGCAAGAGACTACTACCTTTTATAGGCAAGACAATCCTCCTCATCTCCTTTCATTTGTCGACGTGGGACAAAAACAAAAGGGATTGATTTGTCTTTTTCATGAATTGCTTCCATCTCGCCTCCTTGTCTTTAAACTACTATTTTACTTTTTTTTTGGCTAATTTTTTAAAATAATTATTAATTTATTATTATATTAATTTTATTTAAATATATAAACATGTGATAAACGGTTTGACAAATTTTACTCAAACACGACCTGTTTATTAAATATATTGACGGGTTAACCCGTTTAATATCCAAATTTGTTAAAATTTCACTCAAATTTATTTAATTTGTGTCAATTAATTATGTTGTATCCAATTTTGAGAGGCACAATGCACACGCCTGTGGTGTCCCCATATTTTCGAAAAATCTTTTAACGCGTCGTATATTTAAGGTGAGATTGAACCTGGCAGATGCAAATCAGAGTTAGTTATAGTCTCCTCCCAATAGTTACCGATATTCCCTTTCAAACTGCCCTGATGGGCCCTCCTAGACATTTATCTTTGGATTTTAGCATAGGGCATAGGCCTTTAATCATTTTTCTTCGTAGGGGTTGAATTTGGGTGCATAATCCAAATTCAATTCGACTTTAATATGTAAGCTGGGCTTGAGCCAAAAAATAAATTTCAGCCGACTAAAACAAGGGCTACTAGACAAATGCAAACTTTCACCATCACAAATTATGACGCAGGCTTGAACTCTTGGATAGACCATGTATGTTATGCACTATTTTTAAGTGCAATTGAGATCGGCTCTAGCTAGCGGGGCATCTAAATCAGAGTGTGACTACTGATGGATACTGGATCTCTTGGAAATTTTGGGCATTACAACTATCCTAGTTTGTCCCTGGCCACTTCTATGTAATGAATCAACTTACGGAACCTTTGCCAATGACGTTGAACCATCAATGGACTCTGGACACACCATTCATAATTCAATGTCTTGACAAAGCAATCAAACAACCATGAAAAATATGGTTGTTCGTTCACAAATTTAGTGTTGAATTGATTGCCCAATTTTGCATGTGGGACCATACGTTACACCCAACAAGGGTGGTCCATGTGATACTAACAGGCGACTGCAGAACAGATGTAGTTGGGAGTTTTTTTCCAAGACAACTTTATTCATTCGGTACGAATTTGAATTTGATTACGGAATATTATTAGATTGTTTTGTCAAAGTTACATAATAAATATATTGCGTACAAATTACTTTAATTTTAGCATAACATGATTTGAATTATAACATGAACATAACTGAATACAACAATTTATAAGAGAATTAGTTTATCTAATACGAAATTGGTGCGAGGTTATTAGCTTTGAAAATTCAAAGTCACTGGGTTCAGTCTGTAATGGGGTTAACCAGCAAAATTCCCTTAAAAATTTATTGTACAAGTTTGACCAATTTTAATAAAACATACATTATACGACTTAATCATCCGATATAACATGTTACACTATCAGTCCTAGATGTGGTCCACAACTTGAATGATTTCATATTCCAGCCTAATATTCATTTTTCTTGGATTTATAATAAATGAAACTCCAAGATTGATTTTTGCACTTAATGAAAAAGCGGCTTGAGAGGGAGAGGAACGAAAATTAAACTCTCATAAGTCTCGTCAATATGTCTAGATTAATAAAATAGAACGTTTTTGAGTATTAAAGTACAACAATACCCTAAATCTTTTAAGGTTATAAGCTAATGGCGAATTTTACAATTTAAATTCCAATCACCCATATTCACACTTAAAATATACTAAACATTTTAATTACTCATTTATTTTTAACCACAGAAAAAAAAAAAGAAGAAGAAGAAGAAGAAGAAGAGGAAGAAAAAAGTGGTACCCGGTTGCCGAAGCAGAGAAAACCAGGCTTGAAAAAAGTGTTTTTCTTCAAAAGTATGTTGTCGAATAATTGCCAAATTTGTGTTTGGGATCACACATGTACCCACAATCCCAAGCTTTGGTTTTTTTTTGTCAGCACCTGGAGCTTTAAGAGCGTCCATCTTCTACGGATTTCCGTATCGGTCACTGGTTTCATGAGAGAACAATTCATTTGTTTTGTAATTAGGGGTGGAAGAACCTCAAATGCTTTGTTTGATTGGAAGCATAAAAAATAGGAAGAATAGAAAATAGGAGGGATACATTTTTTACCTTTCAAAGGATGAAAAGTAGAAATGATACACTTTCCTTCCTTTGTGTTTGGATGGATGGATGAAAAATAAAAATGATTAATTTTTTTTTTGTCTAATATTAGGGGTGATAATCGAGTCGAGTCGTGTCGTGTCAGATTCATGTTGAGTCATAAAATTATGAGTCTTTTATATTTTTTATTTGAGTGTCAGTTCATTTTCAAGTTCATGTCGAGTTATAATCAAGTTCGTGTCGAGCTTGAATCGTGTCATCGTGTTCGAGTCGTGTATTTTTATATGAAATTAATGTATACATAATATATAGATAAATAAAATTCATCTCAACACAAATAATTGACTTTTCATTCACTTTTCTTTTGATTTTGGAGCAATTGATTTTGGCGAGTTGGAAGGAAAGTTAATCCATCAACTTTTTCATCATTTCTATTTTCCTCGTTACCAAACATGATATTTTATTTATCCCTTCAACTGTTCATCCTTCCAACTTTTCATTCTTCTATTTTTCCATCAAACCAAATGGAGTATAAAACTTATGCTATATCTCTTGGGCTCACTAAACAACAAAAGTTTGAAAAGAAATCCTAAATATGCATACAAATATCATCGTCATTCTTCAGCCAATCACACTATTGTTTTCAAACATAGAATCTGGATTCTCTGTCGTCTCTATATTGTTGTCAAGTGAAAAAATCGTGTGTTCCTATCTCCTGCTTTCACCCAGTGAATTCTCAACCTTTGTGACCAATGTTTTACCCCTCTTTGCCAAATTTCATCAATTTCTTGAGCCAACTTCACTGATTTACACAAGTTGTCCTCATCCATCTCCTCACCTTGAACCTAGCTAGCTCTGTTTTCAAAAGCTTCACCCTAGCCTTGTCTTCTACAAAAAGGTTTTTGTTCCATCGTGTCAGCTCCTCCTTATATCCTCTTAATTTCCTACTTATTTTGAACATATTGGACCTCTTAATCGGAATAGACCAGGTTTCTTTAATAATCTCTTCACATCTGACATATTAGAACCATTTGTCTTTAAATTTAAAGTTATATCTAGCTTTCCTCTTGTTCAATCCCCAATCAACAATAATTGGGCTATGATTAGTGAAGATACCACAATAATAGGTAGAAGATATAGAAATTATTCAAACCACAAAGATTAGATGCAAGACCAAGAAGGCATTCATCGTGGCTCGACCTTCGCTTGTGGACAGACCTCCAGGGCGATAAGCGACCTCAACGAGCAAGAGCCAATTGGGATTTCAATCAATCCAATTAGATCTCTTGATCTTGTCCAGGTTCTTGGGGTGGAAGGTCGCCCTATCTCAGTAACCAAGAGGGAACGCCATCCTAGCAATCATGGAGAAAAAGGCTCCCCCAATCAAGGAGGAAGATACTCCTAACAGTCAAGGAGAGATTTACTCCAACGGACTAGTAATGCCTGGGGAGGATCCTGGACAATGAGGGAAGGTGTTACCAGCGAGACTATAACTTATTCAATTCACACTAAGCAATAAACTCTTCCCCCTCCCTGGAGCAAGAGACTCCTTTCAAGTGGACTTGCCAATATCGGCGAACAACTATAAATCTCTCTTGTTCTTTTACTTCTACAATCATTATCATCAAGATTAGGTTCAACTTTAGCTTTATACACCATCCATTAGAACCCAATCTTACTTCATGAGTCACCAAAGAATTGGGGAAATCCAATCTCCACTATGGATTAACAAACACCCTATCCAAAATTTCCTGAACATTTGCCCTCCTTGGTTTGTTGTTTGACCATGTAAAGATAGGACCTTTACAGTCCAGTTCTAGCATATTACAATCAAAAATAAGCTTGTTCAATTCCTCTAACTCTTTCATTCCCACTCCACTTCCTCCTTTGTTGTCTCAAACTGAGTCGATACTGTTAAAATCTCCAATTATCATCCAGCTATTTAACATTGGATGAGATAGCCCTAATTGTGACGCCCCTAAAATCGGGGGTCCTTTAACAACCGTTGACTAACCGTCAACTTGCGAAAATACCCATGATTGTTGTACAATTCGACGTCACGTTAATAATATCCCCTTAACAAGGATCATCACCCATACGTGCAACCTGTGTACACTTGATCATTTAATCCAACTAAAGTCCAGTGTACCACATTTCATACTCCATTTTAGCCTATTTACATCATTTAAACAAAAGGATTCATAGCCCAAAAGCATGGTAAAACGATGTTAAAAATTTCAAAATTTTGGATGGCATACCGATAGGGTGAGCCTACTAGAAAATCCCTACTAGTAGGTTCTACCAGTATGCATTGCCTATTGGGCCCAGTCTTACCGGTAGGCTCTGCCCAATTTTCCCTATTTGGCCTGTTTTCAATTTCCAATCCATGTCCATCCATCTCATTCTCATCTTACACTTGTATAACGAATTTTTTTCATGTAATACAAGGTTCATACAAGTTTTGTTACATTCAATTCCATGTATTTACATACCAAAATAGAAATTTCACAATTGTTTTACAAAACTCAAAATAAAGTCACATTTTGGCTTTCTTCACCCTTGCAGTCCTGTGTCAGGGCCTTCCACTGATGTAAATCCTGCACCTGAAATATTTTTCCGTATAGAGTGACTCACGCCCAGTAGAATATTTCCTACTAAGGCTATTCCCCAACCCAAGTACATATGAAATAGTCATAAAACACTCAACAAACAACATCTAACAAGAATATATCATTAAATGTTGGAATTTTAGAAATGTCATGGCATGAAATGAGATGAGACTCATTCATGCAACTCAACTTGAGCCCTCATTGGCTCATTTCACCCATATAATGCTATGAGTATAAAATCGGGCTTTTCAAGTCCTCGTCATTGGCGTTTCACACCCAATGACTCTTTCAAATAAAATTCTCCGGGTTTTTCTTGAGGTGAGTATTTATGGACTTACACCAACGACACTTAACCGACACAGAATTTATAGACTTTCACCAACAGTTCCGCGTACACCGACACACTTTATGAACTCTTATACCAACGAAGTGCGTATATGTTCACTAGGTTTCTGATCCGAGGGATAATCTAGCCTTTCTTGCTAACTCCGACTCAATTTTTTATCCATACCACCGTGCGACTCAGTCGGATCTTCGATCCAACTTTTTTGAGTCCACCCATGATCCACCTATTTGGTATTTGATATCAAACGTGCACACACACACACACCTACACTCATGGTTATGGATGCGGTTCTTCCGTGCAAATGCAATGTAATGCGTCATCGCTATATCAATGTTATGCCTAGATGTAATGAATGCTACATAAGCAAAATTAACCACACATCTATATATTTCATGGTCAATTATGCTATATGCATATAATCGCCAAATTTCATCACATTGTTAGTATATCAACATTTCATTCCAACAATAAATCACAAGCGTGTTATTACATAATATGTGTCAATAACATACTTAATTCTCAATGCATAAAATAAACACATAATATGCCCAAATTTCATTGCATAACTCAAGCACCACCATAGGTAATTTCTACATAGGTAATTTCTACATACCTAATTTAAACTAGAATTTATTCTAGCCTATTTCTTTACCCATTTCATCATGTTCACAAGCATAGGTAAGTAATATATACCTATATCAACCTACCAATTTCATAAAAACACCCTAGGTTGTAAAATAAACCAAAGTAGGAAGGAACCCTACCTCTTGAAGTGTAAAAAACATGTTAGGAAGCTTCACGACTTCAGCTTGAGCTCTAATCCAAGCCTTCCTAAATTTTCATTTTTCAACCTTTGGTGAAAACCCTCGTTTTTGGTACGTAGGCGTAGCCCTTGACGAGGAGATTGAATTTTGTTCTTAGCCCGAGTGGATTCGATCACTCAATATTCATAGATCGTAGAGAGAAGGTGAGAATTCTCTCTTTTCCCTTTCTTCTCTTCTCATGTTGAAACCGGCTGAAGAATGAGGGAGAAATTTGATTTTTTCCCTATTTATACTCTCTAAACTCTTGATCCACAATGCGCCACACGACCCGTTTTTTTTCGGGTCTGTTTTCGCTCCGAAACGATTAAATTTTGTCCTAGTTCAAGTTCAAAATATTTTTATTTTAACTTGTCTTAAACTATTTTTCAACTTTCAAAATTTTATTAAAAATTCCGTTTTTTGGTCACTTGAGACTCGGTCACCTCGTAAAACAAAAAAAAAATCGACTATTTCGAAATTCGACGAAAATTGACGGGGTAACTAGATTTCGCGAGATGAATCAACGGCAAGGTCTGTTTCGTCATACGAGATCTAGAAAAATTCAGGTTTACAACCTGTACCGTAGTGACAAATTACCGTTTTACCTTTTTTATAAAAAGTTCAAATTTATCCGGGTTTTACACTACTCATCTGCCATGTTCTCTATCTTCGACTATAATCTAAATCTGCATAAATAAAAGTAGCTTGCCACCTCATAGAATTCTATCTCAGAACACAAAAAGTATTGATCACTTTCTTGTCTACTCCCACAATGTTGATCTGCACATCATCATTCCACCATAATGCCAAACCACACAAAATTCCCATTGGTTCTATATAATAAAAATTGGGGAAATGAAAACCCTTTCTTAGTCTTTCCAAATAATTATTTTTATTCTTCGTCTCCATCAGGAAAATGAAAATAATAAAATGGGTATCAATGAGCCCTCGTAAATAACAAATTGTCCAAGGTTGCCCAACTCCCTGACAGTTCCATAAGATCATTAACTTGACCAATGTGGCTATTTAGGTTCAGCCACCACAACCCGTTGAGATACACAAATCAGCTTCCTCAATTTCTTGAGAAACCAGATGATTAAGGCAAAATTCCATATCACTTTCTACTTGTTTCTCTATAATCCCCTCTCCAATATCCCCATTCATTTGTTGTATCTCAACTTCAAACCAATTCTCACTTGGAGATTCCTTCCCTTTCCCTTTTTTCTAGAATCCCTCCTACAATTTCGTTTCACTCTTTGATTCAGCTTAGTAAGCAAGCTCACAACCATACCTGCCTCTTCACTAGCACTTACTTCCTTGCTACTCCTTTTACGGGTGTTGGTTGAAATCTGCAAGTGGAGCTCTACCTCATCCATCCCCTTTTGCTTCTTCACCCAGCCTTAACCTTTACCCATCCTTGCCTCTTCACTAATGGCTTTCCTTTTGAGAAACATATCACAAAATTCATTACCTAATTTATGATCCACTTCCTGGACCCCTTACCCATAGTTTGTACCAGTTAGAATAACTTCTTGGGCCGTCTCATCTCTTAGGGCTTCCCCTTCCTCATCCAAGTCTAAACCCCCTCACCTTTATTTCCCATACCCTCTACTACCCAACAAAATTGGGCCATTTGTTGGGCTTTTCGGAGGTTCAATAACATAGTACTCAGAGGGATGCAACCTCTTAGACATTTTAAATGGGCTCTGCTGATGGGGGTTAAACTCTTGCAACAGAGATATGAGAGGATTATGCTTTATCCATTCCTCTAGCCACCGTGGTCCCCCTTAGCCATTTGTTCCTTTATTGACTTCGTTGCACCACGTGTCCCCTCTCCTGACCTTGGTGCTGAAGCTACACCTCTAACCTTTTCAGTTGCCACTCCAGCATCTCTTCAGAATAATTAACACTTTGGATACGTACCTCACTCTCTTTCTCACGCACCAATGGATGATCCCATCCTCCGGTAAATTTCTCTTTTCCACCTCTCTTCTCAACTAAGCACCCTCCCACCTTCTCTTTCTAAGACCAATTTTTCCTATAGAAGACCGAAGATTGATTAGGAATCGCTCGAAGTTCTAGATCATATTCTAGCTATAAAGCCCCTGATTTCTTTTCCATACAATACCCCTTACTATGACCAAACGTTCAAATTTGAAAGCAATCCATAAATCATCCCTATCCTCATGCACTAAGAAAAAACCTTTCTTTAGTGGTTTGGTAATATCAATCCGACATTTCACTCTCATAAAATTTTTGGCAAGAAGTAGGCTAGACCCTGAGTCCAACAGTTGGGTAGGTTCCTTAATCACTTAGCCAATCCTCCACGCATTGTTCTTTGTTATCATATCGAATGGTGGCTCCCAAATTTGAACCTTGAACTCCGCAAATTGGAAATCAAAATCTCTCATTTTATCCTCAGGAGAACATTTTTTCAACACCAAAAGAGATCTCATAACAAACCATGGACTTTCCTCATTGATCTTGTTTCTATCACTTTCCTCCTTAAACACAAACATATAAGTGTTTTTCCCAAATAGGTTATAGAGAAACCCTTGGTAGTCTTTCAAGCTCCTAACAGTACATTACTCACCCCCAGTTTATGGTAGAACAAATTCTGAAATCACCCTACCCACCATACAAAACTGTTCGATTTCTTGGGAGAAAGAGGGGTTTGAATATAGGGAGATGCTTGGACGGTTAATTTTTTGGAACTTGATTCAACCTCCATAGTATAAACGAGAGTGACTAGGGAAGACAAAAGAAGAAAAAACGATGGTTCTAGGTTTTCCTTGAAAACAAGAAAAACCTAGATGAAAATAGTGAATCAACAAACACAAAAGGGAACATCGACACAACAAAAAAGAGAGGGAAAAAACTAATGAGATTCCATGAAAGAACCTTTCGTCTGTAGCAATATGGAAGAAAGGGAGATAAAACCCTAAAACCCCAACCACACTAGACAACGTAGTTTTTTTTTTTGTAAAGGAAATAGTTAAGCAAATATCATTACGTTGGCAAAGTATGATTACAATCACTAGATAATAAAGCCTTAAGCTTCGGGGGTGGATAACGCAACCAACTCAACGGAATCGAGTTAGATAATTTCATAGTTATAACCCAGTGAGCCGCTCTGTTAAGAGCCCTAGGCTTGTGAAGAAACTGTATGTTAAGAGATTTAGCAAAAAAACAAATATCACTAACAAAAGCACAAATATCCTATGGGGGAGCATCTTTAGAAACACTTAGCTTGATCATCTCTAGGATTGTCAGTAGTTACAGTGACATTTCTAAGCCCAGTTGCAGAAGCCAAGAGACAAGCTTCTCTTATAACAGCTGCTTCAGAAAATAAGCTAGATACAGCCAGAACCTGTTCGGCAATACCTTCCACAATTGTCTCATTGGAGCATTTCAGAATCACCCCTATAGCCGCAGTGTCCTTCTTGAATGCACCATCACAACACAGAGAAAGGGGGTTAGTGAAACCAGATGATTGCTCTTGATGGAGAGGCAAATCCGTTTGCTGCACCTCACGCTTACCCATAACAAAATTCCTCACTTCACTCCAAAGCCTCTGAGCCCACAACAAAGTAGCAAGGGCATTAGGATGTTGATGAGAAAAAACGAAATTGTTTCAAGATAACCAAATAGTCCAAGCAGTCGTGGCCACTCTCCCCATAATCTAAAGAGAACAAGAGAAATTCTTAATATCATCCACAAGGGACGATGCCCACTGAAAAACTGAGACATGAGAATCTAGCTTCAATCTCAATCCCAAATCAGGCCCATACCAAACCATTTTAGCCCATCCACATTCAAAAAGAAGATGTTCAAATGATTCAACCATCTCATCACTAGAAGACGTAGTTGGGTTGGGTGCTCTAGAAAAAGGTATTGGGATTTGCGAGGTATAAGGTACAGAATAGCACAAATAGATAAGATCAAATTAAAGCTAGCCTCAAAAAAATAAAATAAAGGGTGATCGTAGAACTAAAAAATCTGAGATCGAAAGCCTTATGATGAGAGGGATACTCTCAAAACGAGAGGACTAATTTTTCACAATCCCAAGCTTGAAGCACCAAATTTGGGCATGAAAGAAAAGCATACCAAATGAGAAATTATTGGCCTTTTGTGTTGGAGTTAAAAGCTAGCTTAGCTGATTTTCAACATCTTTACTTATCCCCAACTCTCATTTAGTAATTGAGTTTCGCCTCTGATATTTAGTGTTCTCTAATTCAACTTTTCTAATATTTCTTATGGTCTATTCATTCTAATTCATTAGGGGACATGTTCTAAACCTGTTTAGACTATGATGTCCAGTATCCAATCTTGGGAAAATAGTCGACACAAGTTTGAACACTCTATAACAAAAACAAAAAAAAAATATTTGGTATTGTTTTAGGTAGAGGTGTCAATCATGTCGTGTTGAATCATTTTTGTGTCGTATCATATTCGGATACATTTTCGGTTCACGTTGTTTTCGTGTCGATATTTGTGTTAATAAAAAATTATTTAATTTTAAAACAACTCATGTGATACTATGTAAAGAAATTAGCAAAATTAAAAAATATCTATTTTTTACTTACTATATTAGTTTATCATGTTATTTACATCTAACCTTAATTTGAATAATTTATTATTCATATTAATTGATCATGCAATTTTCGAACTTTATATCTTGTCCAGTTTGTGTTAATTAGTAAAATTGCACTTAGAAGGCCAAAAATACTGCCCACAGTCCCATCCAAGCCCAAAAAGGGGCTGCCCAGCCTAAGCCCGTATGGTCCAAGATTGGGCCATAGTGCTGGCCCCAACCCTTGGGAAGCTAGCCTGGAGCCCCACTCATGTTTCCGGCCCATTAGTTACAGCAACTAACCGGCCCAAATTTTAATTTCGTGGTTAGAAGTTGTAAGTTATAACTCATAAATTGAATAAGTAATACATTGTAAATTAAGACTTGTAAATTAAAACTAACAACATTTCAGTCTCAATTTTAGTATTTTTTTTAAATGTACAGAGTAGCTGCAGGCTGCTGCATCAACACCTGTTTGATACCGTCCCCGTTTTTAGCCTCTAAGATTGCGGTTCGAATTTAATCATTCCTTCCTCTATAATAATACTTGACCAAAAAAAAAAATTTGGGCTACTGGTGCCAAACCGTGCTCAAGTTAAAAGGCAACCTCTGTGGAATTGTGATGTGTGTGTAAACTTGAAGACAAAACCCTTTTTGTTGGTTTTTCTTTGTATTTGTGTGCGTACATAACAAAAACCTAAAGTTTATGTGCAAGTAATTGTCTGTGTCTCTGTGCGCGCGGTCTTCAAGTGGAAGACTTCGCTTTTGTTGTCGTTGTTATTGTTGTTGTTTTGACTGCAAAGAAGAGACCGAAAGTCCAATACAACATCTTGGTGACATGAATTTCTAATTTAATCTCAAGGGGGTTTATGTAGAAGGAACTTTAGTCATAATTGTCAGGAAGTTTTGGAGAAACAACAGAACCAGAAAAAGGACAAGTACTCTATTTTGCATGAGTCAAAGTTGCCGATCCTCCAATGTGAAGGCGGATGCTAAGCACGCTATGTTGTGGTTAGGATTGTCAAAGGGTCACGTCTAAGTCATATCGTGTTTAGTCAAATTTTTATCAACTCAATATTTAACAGATTTACACGATTATCACCCTTAATTTGCTAATTCTATTTAGATTTTTACTTGAATTTGCATATCATTGAGAATTGACAGGCCAAGTAGTTGCGTACATACGATCGATGCCCATCTTTTCAAAAAATCAAAAACTCCTCAAAAGGTGGGGTTCAACCTGGCGGATGCAACCTAATGAAATGAAAAATTATAATTTGGCTACATTAATTGTGGGCTCAATTACATTTTGCCCCTGAACTGGTGGATTTCTTAGAATATCGTCTCAACAACTTATATTAATTTTACATTATCTCGAAGACAAAGTTAGTTATCTTTTAAACCAAAAAATAAAATAAAATAAAAAATCCACGTGTTGCAGAAAACAAATAGAATAACATTGTTTGGGAATTGGGGGCAAAATGAAATAATTTTATATCAAATTGCTAGCAAATTTTAATTATTGAGACAATGTGAAATGGAGGCCACAGTTAAGGGGGTAAAAGTATAATTTGTGTTCTATGAAAAGACCTTGAAAACTCATGGAATATGTGGCTGGTAATGTAGATCATAGTTCTTAGCTCTCATGAGACTTAAAGCAGTTTTTGTGTTGGATTGGTGTCGTCGGTGGAGCAGTTGGGGCCGGGACCGGCACGACGCCCTGACACCCGATGACAATAATTGCTTCGAGAGTTATAGCCAACATCAAAGGACCCTGGACCATTAATAAGCCTCTGTTCAATGTCTTGACAAAGCAATGGAAAGCAATCTTGAAAAACATGGTCGTTCCTTCAAAAACCTAGTGTTGGATGATTTCCCAAATTCGCCTATGGGACCATACGTTGTACTCATAATCCCAAGCCAGAAACGCCAAATTTGGGTATGAAAGATAAGTACTCCCAACTAGACCTAACAATCATGCCAAGCCATGTCGGTTCATTTTGGGTCTTACCGAGTTATTTATTTATTTTTTTTATAAAGTATCTAGACTTGCGTCGACTTGAGTATTAGCGAGTTCGTACCAAAAATCATTTTGTCCGTCTACAACTTATTTATTAAACGGGTGCAAATTATAAAATTAAAAATGATTTGTAAATTAAACGGCTTACATTGCTTGACACATGTTACCCTTTAAACGTTAATTCTATAACACAAATAAATCTTAATTAAAAATCCTAATTTTTCAACAAATTGGGTCATTAATTAAACAAGTAATCGGGTGATAAACATGTAATCGTATGGCAAGCGGGTAATCGAGTGACAAATTAATTTATTAAATGGGTAATTGGGTGATAAACGGGTTAAGATACTCCATCCGAACTCGACTAGATCGTTTATTATGCGAGTTAGGTAGATTCACCCATTTATCACTCAAACCCACTAAAATCAAATCCAAAGTCCATTAATTTTTTGTCAATTTTTATCTAATACTCTCGAGTCGTGTTGAAATTTGCAAAAGCATCTTCCAATTGACAAATTTTTGTTTGCCATTTGTTCAATGGAACTTTTGGGTGAATAAATCAATTGGAATTAAAAAAAGTTTCCTACAGTTATTTCCGTTTTCTTTCTTATTCCCCAAAGAATCTTCTAGTCTCTTTCTTTTAAATCAAACTAGTCATTCTAGAAAAAGTCGAGAAATACCCTTGAATCGAAACTACGTAGTGGAGACTCGAACAAAATCAATCTAATTTGTGGAATGTTTGATACAACATGAAATTAATAAATTAAAATTGAATAGTTTTAACCACAAATTTAAAGATGACAAGAACACATTGGCATGAATAAAATTAATGGATTCTATTAAAATTAATGGATTAATATGGTCAACTTTTGTCTATGGTCCACTGGTCGCCTGCTTGACTAATGTCTTGCATACTAATTTTGTTTCCATTTTGACTTATTATACGGTCTTTCTCTTCAAATAATAAGATTTTGCATTCGTAAGAACATGTCAATCTCCATAATAACTTTCAATTCATGGGTTTATGGTTTGGAAAGCTTCGAAGATATTATGGGAAATTGAAAGGGTCTAAGTGAGTTGTGGCTTATGAATAACAAGATGAGGAGTTACTACCACAAATTCATTCCTGGGCCTTGTACACTTCGCCTTCTCACTTAGTTGAATTAGTGTCAAACACACAAAAATCAGTTTTGACACATTCATTTAGGTGATATTATGACCATATTTTTGTTTATTTTTTTTAAAATATAGATAAAGTGAATTTCTAGTTACAAGAAGACTATTTGACCGACGGTAGGAATCCGTGTGTGAGCTGAAAAATGGACCTTTCTTCCTAAGTGAAGGGACGATAATTAAATAGTTTGAATTAATAATAATTACTTGACACTAATCAGAAATAAAATGACTCAAACACTTTTGACTCGATTACCATCCTATCAAAATGCTTCCAGCAAAGAGCTATTCTTTTTGGTAAACTAAACATGTGAATGCATAAGAGACTTCATACATGAACCATAGAAAACATATATGTGTAAACAGAGCAAATACACCAATCATCGATCATTAGTGATTTGCTACATAATTGCACCACTTCGGTAACATACTGTTATACATACACAGTATATAGTATTACAAGTAGGGTACTATCCTAAGTAAACCCCTCATCACCAGGCTTGATCTTTTTCTTGTCCAAGAAATTGTTGACAGCAGAAGCAGCAGATTGGCCTATATACTCAGCCATCATCTTCTTCACCGTCTTCTTCTTCGCCGGAATCAAGCTCTCACCCTTGTCTTTGAAAACGGGCCAGGTCTTCGATGTTCCCTCCCCAGAACTCGCTCCCTTATCTGCCATCTCTCAAAAACTCTCTCTGTCTCTGTCTGTGTCTCTTATTTCTGCCTTTCTTTCTCAATGCTTGTTGTGGTTGTGAAGAGAAAGCAATGCTGGTATTTATAGGAGCTCAAGTTTAAGGGAAGTCTCTGCGATTGTATGGGGGTTGCTTTGTAAACTCCAAGAAAAACCCATGAAATTCATCCTTTCTTTGCATGTGTTTGTGTGTGTATGTGTGTGTTTTTTGTATTCAAATTTGTATGGGGGAAAGAAAGTCTGTGTGTGATTGTGTGGGGGTTTGCGTGTAAACTCGAAGGAAAACCCATTTTTGTGGGTTTCTTTGTATTTCTGTTTTGTGTGTATGTGTTTTAAAACCGTAAGGGAGGAAGTCTCTGTGTGATTGTGTCGGGGTTTATGTGTAAACTCCACGAAAAAGTTGTTTTCTGATTTTCTTGTGTGTATATGTATTTTTAAAAATGTGTGGGAGCTCAAGTCTAAAAGGGAGTCTATGTGTGGGGTTTTTTGTGGAAACTTTTAAAGAAAAGACCATTTTGTGAATTTCTTCGCATTTGTATTTGTGTGAATGTGCATCTGCATGTCTCCAGCCTAAGATTATCATATACTTATATATTAAAAAATAATAATAACATTATTTGAAACTATTTTATTGACATAATTTATTGACTTTACAATTGGATTGTTTGTGGATTCTAATAAATAATGGAAACCACTATTAATCTTGTGGTTATGAATAATTAGATCAATAAATTAAATCAATAAATTATGTCAAAATAGTATTGCTCTAAAAAAAAAATTAAATTAGAGGAAAGATGACGAGAAGTTTCCCTTTATTCATTTGTAGAATTTTTTTTTTATTTACTTGCAACACAAGATTTCACTTAATTACACTCTGCATCCCCGTGTAAACACCACCCGATCCCCTCAATTAACTATCATTCATTCTAATAACAGTTTTTAAAAAAAAAGTTGTCAAACTATAAGTTATTATAAGTCTTTATTTGATATCCTAAATATAGGTGCGGGAGAAGAATTCCAGATGGTTTGTGAATCTCGTACTTCTTGTTTGTTTATTTATTATTACTCAATTACACCACGTGATATAATCATTATATTGAATATTTACTCCGCACGCGATGTAAAACAAAAAATGGCAATTCCTCTAGTTTGCATGAGTCAAGGCTTGTTGGCTCCACTACGGCCTACTTAGGATACCCGCCTTTTCAGTTTTGTATTCGATATAATGTGGAGGGCGTAACATTACATATTTCATAGCTTAATGCATCATTGTTTGACAAATGTTTTAACGTTTAATCCTTTGAATTATGTTGAAATTATAGTAATGGATGTATTTGTGAATGTAGGTACAAACAAAGATGAAGAGAAACATAGGGAAGTAAGGACAAAGTCATGGGGAATCATTAAATGAGGAGTTGAAGCAGAGGAGCAAGAAAGAAGCAAACAAGAAAAAGGCAAACCAACCGGTTGGACTTGTACCAGTTGGTCAGGTTGACATAAAAGCTTCAAAATCAATTGAAGAGGTTATAGAAGTTATCAGAAGGCCACCATGATTATGCGAAGGCTTCAACCGGTTGAACACCAACGTTCAACCGATTCATCAGAGTTCATTAGACCATTAACAAAGTATTGAATACCCTTCAACCGGTTCATCAATGGCTTCAACCGATCGAACTTCTCCTTCAACGGTTGATCATATGTCGGTTACAACACACATTTTTTCAAGTTTTGATTTGTCCATGATAGTCATCTTCCTTCACTCCTATACTCAAGAGAAGACTACCAATCCCTATGAGCTAGCTTCCCATTAGTTAATGGTACCTCCCACACTTCACGTGAATATACCAGTTGGTCGACCACGACAGAGGAAGTTTCTTCGATTGAACAGCCATGACCCACGCTTCACCTTTACCCAATGAAGAGGAGAGATCAATGCTATATATATATATATATATCTCTATACAAAGAGGGGCCATTTTCAAAGCTTCGCCGAGCTCGAAGAAGACAATTATGGTTTTCATGTCAAACCTTACTTGTTGATTTTTTTTTCTTGTTTTTGAACTTAGTGTTGTGAAGCAATTATAGTTGAAGTATTTTCTTTCCATTCTCTTGCTCATTTACAAATGTTTCACATGTTGTTATTCCCGATTTCGGAGTTATGTGTTTTGCTTCTGGCTAAGTTTTGGCACGATCCAAGAAGTAATTTTGTTTGTGATTGAGTCTTATTGATTCTCTAAATGTATTCTTACCACGTAGTATACTTTTTAGATAGGAAAAATCACTTTTGAAAATTAGGTTTATATATGCTCTTTGATTTATCGTCGACGAAGTTTCGTCATGATTAATACTTATGGTATATGTGTACATCATCTATGTATTTATCATTGTAGATTCCATTACCTATCTTTAAAGTATCATATAGTTCAAAACTACTTTATGTTGAATATTTTACATTCGAGTAAATTTGATTATGAACTCAAATGAGTTATAAACGAGAATCAATAAACTTTGTTATGACAAGATAATTCTTGAGGATTAGATGATTGTGTTTATTTGAAGTTACTTCGTCCGTTTCATATTCACCAATTTTTTACTCAATAAAATATGTTTTTAATTTCATTTTCCAAATAGATAACCTTTCGAATACCAAAGTGTCATTGAGGAGACGAGCTCGAAATTTTTCGAGTTATTAAACTGTACAATCATCTTACGCTTAGTAAATACATTGTAATATTTGAAAGAAAGCAGAGAGTATAAGAATCTAAAAGAGTGCAAGCATATAACACGTCTCTGCCTGCTTGGTGTCCAAGTGCAAGATTTCGTATTTGTTGTTGTTGTAATTGTTGTTGTAAATTCCAAAGAATAACATCTTGTTGACATGAATTTGTAATTTAACCGCAAGGGAGTTTATATAGAAGGAACTTTAGTCATAACTGTCAAGAAGTTTTGGAGAACCACCAGTACCGAAAAAGGACGAGTCCTTGATTTTGAATGTGTCAAGGTTGCCGATCCCCACTGTCAAGGACGGGCTAAGTTGGGGCATGTTTTTTTGGGCCATGTTGTTTTGCACATATCCAACCTTATTATAATCATAGTTTGTAAGATTGGTGTGATTTATAAATTATATATAACCTTTGTTCAAGTGTCACATCATGTTTAATCAAGTTCTTATCAATTTATTATTTTACAAGATACACTCAATCTATCACTCTTGATCCATTAATTGTATTTGAATTTTGAATTAACTTTACAGATCGGTCAAAATTGAAAGACCAAGTGGTTGCCTACGTATGATTTAATTGTCACCTTTTCAAAAAATTCATAAACACCTCACACTTTTAAGACAGGGTTCAATCCTGCGTCTGCAAGATCAGAGTTCAAGAGCCTTGTCAATAGCCACATATGTCCACAGTCACAGTGCCCACATGGGCCCTCTTAGAAATTTTTCCATGAATTCGAGAAATTTGTGTAAGAGTTTAATGCAACACATGACAATTTTATGTAATATTTATTACTAATAAAATATTATACATTCTTCGTGAATGACGATTACCTATTCACTATAGGACGTAAGCTTTTCATTTTTATTGAATGAACCAAAGTTGTAGTTTTAGACGGGTACAATTTCTGCAGATCAATTAGAACTCAGTCCGAGTTCAATTCGAACTATGTAATACTAAAATTAAGATGTGACATTTGGGTCGAGTTTAAAAGGAAAAAAAAATCCTAACCCATTAATAACAAGGGCTAGGTGAGTGCCAGCCGCTAAAACTACTGCCTACGCGTACCTACGTCCCCCAGGACCCCCACTTCCTTGAAATGAATCAACTTAATAAGAGTCAACTAGTTCCAACATGCAATGCCAATGCCGTGGGTCATGACTTATTTCCATATATGCTCATGGAACTTTAGGAAAGATGTTCAAGTACTTATATTTTAGGCAAGGAAAATTTATAGTTTGGCTGCCTCAATTGTTGACTTAATTTCACTTTATCCCCTGAACTGGTGGATTTCTTAGAATATCATATCAACTACTTAAATTAGTTTTACATTATCTCTAATGAGTCAAGCCCAAATGACACAATCTATGGGAAAAAGTCCAAGTCAAGTCCTATGAGGTTCAAGACGGTCAAGCCCATCAGGAAACTACGGAAGCATCTAGGAGCTATACCTTTGCTCGTTGAAGAAGAGGAGAGGTCACCAGAGAGAGGAGAGGTCATTAGCTATTAAGTTACCTCTAGTCCATTATAACCGTCAAGCTACTCAATTACTACGCAGGCTTCTATAAATTGTACGCTCCCTCAACACTTGGGGGGCATCTCAACAAAATAAAGCTCATCTCTCCTCTCTTGTAATTCTTACTCTCCCACCACACCGGAGTCAATAAAATTTTTGGCGAACCTAGCCATTGAAAGTGGACGTAGGTCTCATTGACCGAACCACTATAAACTTTGTTTTCTTTCTCCCTCTACTTACTACATTTTATATTGCTTAATTGACGGGTAGTGTGCAAATCGATTTTGTGTATTATCAGTTTGACGCCGTTTGTGGGAAACGACCAAATTCTCACATAAACACTTTCTTTGTTGAATCTATAGCCGTCACCATCATGAATCCCCTGAAGACAATCCACCACAAGAGGAGGAGATTGCTCCTCCACCTGCCAATCTCACCCCAAATGCGCAGCAGATGCTAGAGACCATGCAGCAGCTCGTGGCCTAGAATCAGTAGATTCTACAGTTAATGCTCGGGCAACAAGGAGGGGTGTAACTTGGACATCAAGCCAGGGGAGCTCTACTCCCTAGTCATCAAGGAGCTTCTCATCTAGGCGCTCTCCATCTAGGCGCCCCCTTGGGCGCCCCACCTTTGGGAGCTCCCTTGGGCACCCCACATGGGGAGGCCCACCATGAGGGACCTCCTCCTCTAGTCCCTGCTCATGCTCCCCATAGTGGAAACCCTCTTCTCCAAGAGGACAAGGGTGAAAACCA